GGATAGTTAAGCTTATTTATCCCTAAATAGCCTTAGTCATGGAGGGAACCTAGGGGGGGGGTAGTACAGAGGGGGATAGTAGGGGCACCCATGAGATGAGGTCTGAAAGCAATCCTAATCCGAATCCGGAAAGGGGTTTGGGGCTTAGGTTTGGGGTTAGGGTGTGGGGTTAGACTTTCGGGTTTGGGGTGTAGGGTTTGGCGTTTAGGGTTTAGGGTTTGGGGTTTGGGGTTTAGGACTTGGGATGCAAGGGTTTGTGGTTTAGGGTTTTAGGGCGAAGCCTCCGAAACTTTCTCTGTCTTTCCTCACGAAGAGCCTATGCATGTGTGTCCCCCAGCGAACCCCTTCGCGGCAACTGAGCAAAGCGTGCATAAGTCTGAAACCTCTCAAACCCGCAACTCAAAGCCACCGATTTGGTTCCCTTTCCCCTTTTCGCTTTTGTATAGGGTTCAGGGATGTTTGGGGTTTCAGGCTTAGTGAACCGCAAGCCCTAAGCCTAAACCCTACCCAAAGAAGCCCTAAACCCCACTCAAAAAGGTAGGTTTGCTGCCCGACCCAAGAAGTAAACCCTACAAGTGTAACCCCCACCCCCCACCCCCCCCCCCCCCCCCCCCCCCCCCCCCCCCCCCCCCCCCCCCGCCCCCCCCCAAAAAAAAAACAAGTCCCCAAACCCTAAACTTTAAACCCTAAACCCTAAAACCCCCCTAAAAGTAGGTGTGTCGGCTTCTGAAGCACTCAATGAAGTCAAAGAATCCGCCGCTCAGATGGAGCTCGTGCGCTGCGGCGCGGAGACTGAGCCGAGGTGATGCCCAGCATGCAGTTTCGGGGTTTGGGGGGTCTAGGGTTTACCCAAAGGCTCCTATGTAGTACCTTTCTGGGGGAAGTATACTAGAATCCCCTATAACTAACCCAAAAAAGGAACTACTTTGGAGCCTCTGGGTAGGGTTAGGGTTTAGGGTTTAGAGTTTAGGGTTTATTGAAATTATTAGGGTTCGCGTCCAGGGGAAGTTTCGAGGAAAGTTTCGAGGATTTTTAGACTTTTCTTCATAATTTCAAGTTACAGGGGGCTTGAGGGTTCAGGGTTTAGGGTTTAGGGTCTAGCGTCTAGGGTTTAGGGCTTAGGGTTTAGGATAAGGGTTTAGGGTTTGTGGTTCAGGATTTCAGGGGTTGAGGGATAGGGCTTGTGGGTGAGAGCTTAGGGTTTCGTGGCTTAGGGTGGAGCCCAGCCTGACAACCTCAAAATTGAGCCCGGGTACTCTCTTGGGTTTAGGGTTTAGGGTTTAGGGTTTAAGGTTTAGGGTTTAGGGTTTAGGGTTTAGGGTTTGGTGTACGAGTGCTGGGGAGGTGCGTCTCGGAGATGCAGCATGCCAAGAATTGACGCCTGACCTTCATTTCAGGTGTTGAGGGTTTAGGGTTTAGGGTTTAGGGTTTAGGGTTTAGGGTTTAGGGTTTGGCGTTAGGATGACACCTCTGAAGTTGGAACAAGGAAGCACAAAGAAGCACCAAAGTACTAGCAGCAGAAACCCCAAAGCTCTGGAGGTCTTTGAGCTGCACCATTGGCTGCGTGTCTTCGGCATCCTAAAGAATACAAAGGAGTCTACGATTTTTACAGACCCAAACCCTCCGTAACCCCCTGAATGTACTAAAACCTGACCCCTACCACACTTTGGGTTTAGGGTTTCGAGGCCGAAGACCCTAAAGGCCATAAACCCCAAAACCGCAAAACCCTAAACCCCAAAGCCCTTAAACCCTAAAACCCAGGAACGCGAAACCCCTAGAACCCCAAAACCCTAGAACCCTAAACCTAAAACCCTAGAACCACTTTAACCTTTTGGGGTTTTGTAGAAACCACGTAAGGAGCCTAACAGTTGAACTTCTAGGAGGGGTTCAGAAGTCAGCCAAGTGCTGCAGTAGCAAAGCCCTAAACCCCAAACCCTAATCCCTAAACCCTAAACCCCAAACCCTAAACCCTAAACCCTAAACCCTAAACCCTAAACCCTAAACCCTAAACCCTAAACCCTAAACCCTAAACCCTAAACCCTAAACCCTAAACCCTAAACCCAACGCAGGAGCAATCTTGGCGAGACGCCGCTGCAGGCTCCCAGCTGCCCATAGCAAGGATTTCGGGGTTCGAGCTTCGGGTACGTGGGGGTTTTAGGGGAACCCGAAACCATAAGCCCTAAACCCTAAACCCTGAACCCTAAACCCTAAACCCTAAACCCTAGGGTTTAGGGGTACAGTTTGGGGTTTAGGGAAACCCGAAACCGCAAACCCTAAACGACACTTAACTTTTTTGGGGTTTCCGAAAATAGGGGACACCAAAAAAAGATTCCTTACAATCAGGACCCCAATCAGGTGCCCCCAATTTCGGAGGCACCCATACCCAGATCTTCCAAAACCCCTCATCTAAGGAATATACCCTAATTTATTCTAAGGATCCTTATAATGAACTAGGGTGTATTCCCTAATTATATAAGGGGTTTTGGAAGCTTTGGGTAAACCCTAAACCCTAAACCCTGAACCCTAAACCCTAAACCCTAAACCCTAGACCCTAAACCCTAAACCCTAAACCCTAAACCCTAATCTGGGCAGGTGCTGAGGGTTTGGGGTTGAAGGCGTACGTCAAGCTAAATAGGCCCTCCGAATGGTGTAGGGTCCAGTGTTGTGGGTTCTCAGCCACTAAGAAGTTCCAAAACCCCTAAACCCTGATCCTACGGATGTGGGAACTCTGACGTTGGGTCTTCTGTTGGGGGCCCAATGGTCCTCAAACCCTGAAACCCTAAAACCCTGAAAGCCTCAACCCGCCAAGCCCTAAACCCTAAACCCTAAACCCGAAACCCGAAACCCTAAACCCGAAACCCTAAACCCATACCCTTTTGAAAACCCTGTGCAAGTTCCGGGCCCATACTTCAGAACCCTCTAAGGGAGGTTAGGGACCACACTAAGGGCCCACGTAGATACCTTAGAATAGGCCACGCCGGTTTGAACAGGCCTAGGCTTAAGGTTCAGGCCCAGGGTAGGGCTTAGGAGTCGGAAAGTTTCGGGTTCAGAAAGTTTCGGGGTTTAGGGTTTAGGGCTTAGGGTTTAGGGTTTGGGGTTTAGAAGTTAGGGTTTAGGGTTTAGGGTCTAGGGTCGCGGCCTAGGTTTGGGGTCCAGGCCCAGGGTCTAGGGGTCAGGGCCCAGGTTTTGGGGTTAAGGGCCCAGGGTTGGGGCCTAGGGTTCAGGCCCAGGGTTCGGGGCCTGGAGTTTAGGGGTCAGGGCCTAGGGCTCGGGGCAGGTCCACCACTTAGGGTTTCGGGTTCTGCCCGGAACTTAGGGGATCCTAAGGTTTCTGGGTTGGGCGGGTGAACAAAAAGCTGGTTTGGGGTTTTGGGAGGGGGGGGGGTCACGGCATCTTATAGTTGGGTGCACTAGAAACTCAAAAGGGAATGCGGGTCCCGATTTGTTTCCGGCTGAAGTTTTCGGGTTTAGGCTTAGGGGTGTCGGTTTAGGGGTTTAGGGCTTGGGGTTTAGGCTTTAGGGTTTCAGGTCTAGCGGTTTAGGGGTTTGGGTTTAGGTTTTAGGTTGTCGGCTCTAGGGTTTAGGGGTTTAGGGGTTTAGGGGTTTCGGGTTTAGGGTTCAGGGTTTAGGTTCTCCCTTTGCGGTCCAAAAAGCGTGCGCCGGCATGTCACCGCTCGGCTCTAGCTCTGCGGAAGTGACCTTGCTCGGACATGTGATGGTTGTTTGTGTTTAGGGTTTAGGGTTTAGGGTTTGGGGGTTTAGAAGTTTAGAGGTTTAGGGGTTTAGGGGTTTAGGGGTTTAGGGGTTTAGGATTTAGGGGTTTAGGGTTCAGTAATTTAGGGTTCAGCTATTTAGGGTTCAGTAATTAAAGTTCAGGGTTCAGAGTTTAAAGTTTAGAATTTTCGAGTTCAAGTGGAGCTTGAAAGGAGGCAGGATAAAACAAAGAAGGCCAGCGTTGCTGGCTGCAAGGTGTCAAAAGCGCCTGGGTACATCATGTCCGGGAGTGCTTGAAAACCCTAAACCCTAAGCCCTAAACCCTAAACCCTAAACCCTAAATCGTCTAACGTGCCATGAAGCATGATGAAGCATTATGAAGCAGATCTTTCACCTGGTGCTGACATTTCTCGGCGGGTTTGCCGCGGGATGTCTGCTTCTTGGCTGGCAGCGTCTGAAGCAAAGCCCGCTTGGAACTGCAACGGAAGCACATGGAGAGCACAGAGGTGCTACCACAGGCGGATCTTTCAAGACCCCTTAACGGTAAGGAACACCCTACAATTCATAAACCTATAGTTAAGGAACATGTACCCGAATTCATACGAAGGATCCTTGTGAGGAAATTGGGGTATCTTCCTTAACGTTTTTTTGGAAGATCTGGGCACAGGTACGACCTGCAATCTTAAAGCTGGTGCCTTGGGACCGCTGCCCCCGCCTGCGTGCGTGTCGAGCTCGGCAAGTGCTGCTACGAAGCTTTGTGGTGCTTTACTGTAACTGTAGATCCTTCACCTGTTTGGGCTTATTGGGTTTCTTAAAACCCTAAACCCTAAACCATAAACCCTAAACCCTAAACCCTAATGCAGTCAAGGAAGGAGGACCTAGAGCCAGCTTTAGTCTTCCTCCACATGCACAAGGCTGGCGGAACCACTTTCAAGACAGCCTCTTACTTCTCCAACAGCTGAACTTTAAACTTTTTGGGGTTTAGGGTTTAGGGTTTAGGGTTTAGGGTTTAGGGTTTAGGGTTCAGGGTTTAGGGCTTAGGGTTTAGGGTTTAGGGTTTTTCCCTATTTAGTAGAATTATACAGTCTTAACCTTTTTTCCCCCCCTTGGTTATTCGAGAAGCCTAAGGCCTTCGTCGAGACTCTGTGCAGCAGCACATCCTTGTGCCTCTACTTCGAGCACAACAAGTCCAGGGCACTCGCTGGAGGTAAGCGCAGCCTCAAGAAGCTTTCCATACCTCCAGACATCCTGTTTGAAGGCACGCGGGCGGAGAGGATGCGGATCCGAGTGGTAGTCGTGGCAGACTACTGGAGTGGCGTGTGCTCCTTGCTGCCAAGGACTTTTGGGGATTCTTGGGGATATGTTTTATTGTTCTAAGAAACAGCCAAAATTCTACTTTTGCTAGAGTTCCAATTTCGGTATAGAGGAGATGCCTTTATTTGACCACGTTGCGGGAGCCCACATATCTCCACATAAGCTTCTGGAACTTCCTGTGCGTCCGGGGCTCTCAAGACAGATTGCTTTGGAACAAGACTGAGCGCAAGATTGGAGAGTGCCAAAGGCCGCCGTCTTCTTGGCCGCAGGCGAGCCTCTCTGGGAGGCTTTTGGGGTATTGGGAAACTCGGATGCCCAGTAGTGCCCTTATTCCCTTTTTTGGGGGGTTTAGGTTCCCTTATAAACCCCTTTAAGCAAAAAAGGGCACCCTTTTTCAGCCTAGGTTACTGAGCATCCTAGGAAAACACCTCGCAATACTCACAGCAGGAGGTCGTCGATCTGGCTGTCTGGAACCTCTGGCACCCCTGCTTTTGGTTCCTTCACACGCAGTCCATGCGCTCTGGCGCGCTGTCTCTCAAAGAGAAGTGGAGCCCATATTTCAACACCACCTTGTCTGTTGTAGCAACATTGCATGAAAATGCAGCTCCACATGCAAGCAATGTTACGGAGGCCCTGAGCTACGAGCTCCAAACTGGCAAGCAGGGCAGAAGGGCACATGCTTGGGCCAACCAGGTCGTGTGGGCGAGTTCGATCCCTGCGCTTAAGAAGCAGTGGGACAAAGCCCTTGAGTTCTGCTGAGAGTGTTGACGGAAGTCATCCTGTGATCCCCCTCAGCAAAATCTCGATGCTTTGTCCTAGCCTGACAAAACTAGGATGCCCAGTGGCTACCCTTATCTCCTTTTCGAGGGTTAGTTTCCCTTATAAACCCCTTTAAGCCAAACAGGGCACCTTTTTCATCCTACAGTAAACTCCAGAAAGTTGGAACATGGTTTAAGGATGATTACAGCTGGGATTCCCTTTAGTATACCTTTCGGGATATGGGATAAGGATGTTCCAACTTTTTGGAGTTTACTGTACTAGTAATTTGGTCATTGGGCAACCCAGAAATTCGGGAGCATGCCAGAGCAGGAGAGCAAGAGGCCCAGAGGTACCTTCAGCGTCTAGAGAATGGGGGCAGGAAGCTTCATCCTTCGCGAGACAGAAGAGCTTTCGCATGAGGCACACGCGCAGGCGCTTGCCTGCGTCGAGGTTTAGGGTTTAGGGTTTTGTCCTCTGGCGGCCCTCAGAAGCAGACAAGCTTTCAGGCTGCTTTCATCCGCTGTTTCTGTCCTTTGGACGTCTGCGATCAGCCTATACCGAGTCTGTACGTACCGTTTCGCGAGACATGTATGCCCTCGTGCTCAGCCCGCGCCAACGTAAACAGCTCAGGCAACCCTGTGCAGTCAGTGGTTATGTAGGTGGATAGCAGGTACCCAGTTCCCGCATGCCTGTTAAGAACTGGTAAGTTAAGAGCTTGTCCCGTTTGAGTTTGATTCGGTTTTTTAGGGCTAGTATTGGAATGGAGGTGGCCTTAAACTTTGTGGTAAACCCTAAACCCTAAACCCTAAACCCTAAACCCTAAGCCCTAAACCCTAAACCCTAAGCCCTCAACCGGGTTTTGCGGGCATTGCGGGCGCCCTGGACGACTTCGCTGCTGTTGGTGTTTAAGGGTACGAGTTGGCCCATGTTCCCCTTTCTTGGGGGTTCATATACCCGAAACCCTAAACCCTAAACCCTAAACCCTAGACAAGATGCAGGTGGCCACGACGGAAGATCCGGAGTTTGCAAAGAAGCTGCAGGTGGCGACTCCTACATCCCCCTTGGGGTTTAGGGTTTAGGGTTTAGGGTTTAGGGTTTAGGGTTTAGGGTTTAGGGTCCCCTATATGCCCTTTAAGGAATCTCTATATGGTACCTATATCCCCTATATACCCTTTAAGGGGTTCTGTATGGTACCTATATCCCCTATACCCTTTAAGGGATTCTACATGGCACCTATATCCCCTATATACCCTCTAAGGGTCTTTTGTTCATACAAAACCCAAGAGGGCATTAATTCTACTATTTTTTGTCATATACCCTTTAAGGGTTTTTTGTTCATACAAAACCCAAGAGGGCATTAAAACTATTAGTTTCCTATTAAGGTTCTAAGGGGACTATATACCCTATATACCCTTTAAGGGATTCTATATCGGTGCCTATATCTCCTACATACCCTTTAAGGGATTTTTGTTAAGGTTCTAAGGGGAGTTAAGGTTCTGAGGGGAGTATGGACTCTGGGGGGTGTGGCCCTAGGGGGGGCTGCCAGGGAAGGCTTCGGGTTGAGCGTTCAGGGTCTAGGAGTTTAGGGGTTTTGGGGTTTTGGGGTTTTGGGGTTTAGGGGTTTAGGGGTTTAGGGTTTAGGGTTTAGGGGTTTAGGGTTTAGGGATTTGGGGTTTAGGGTCAGGGAACCGCAATACTCGAGAGGCTAGGGACATTTCTGGGCTCCAGGTTTAGGGTATGAAACGGTATGGTTCCCCTGGTTTGGTCCCTGAGCGAGGGGCCCACTTAATATAGGGGTCTAGTGACTGATAATCTTCCGCTCTGGTCCCTCTCTCACTATAATACCCCCCCAAAACACGATTCACATTATTCCGGCCCCTATAGCACGTGGGCGGATCTGGCCAGACTAGGGTGGCAGGTGATAGCGTTTGCCCAAGCGCGTTGAAGAGGCAGGACCTGGCCAAACGTCGGACACACAGAGATGAACTCAAGGTGAACTGGGCCGTCACCTTGCCAGATCTTCCACAACCTCTTATATAATTAAGGCATATGCCCTGATTCGCATGAATAATCCTTAGTATAAATGAGGGTATATTCCTTAGTTAAGGGTTCTGGAAGATCTGTGACCGCCGAAGTGTGGGGGGCTGCGAGCGCTGCCCAACGACGGTGGTCCGCCCGTCGCGCAGAGCCACGACAACGCAACAGCCAGCCAGGCGATCAGTCGGCAGTTCCTGGGGCTCAGGGTTTAGGGTTTAGGGTTTAGGGTTTAGGGTTTAGGGTTTAGGGTTTAGGGTTTAGGACGACTTCTGCGTGCAAGGGAACATTCGGGGAACATTGGGTTGCTTGTTTTCCTTGGACCTTCTCGATTCACGACCCGCATTTTTGTCAGGGTTTAGGTGTACACGCATGGTGTTCCTGGGCTTTGGAAATTGGTCTTCAGCTAGTCGGGAAGAGTCCGAAACCTCTCGCCGCCTCCCAACCCTAAACCCTAAACCCTAAACCCTAAACCCTAAACCCTAAACCCTAAACCCTAAACCCTAAACCCTAAACCCTAAACCCTAAACCCTAAACCTAAACCCAACACCCGAGTCCCTAGTCCTAAAAATCCCTCAGTAACATGCAACCTCAGCCCCTTCAGCGATCCGTGCATCGCCCGACAGAGCGCCAGGTGCGAAGGAGGTCCCCGGCTTGAAAATCGCGGAGCTACCCACCCACCACATACTTCAGGGTCCAGCAAGCCCTAAACCCTAAACCCGAAACCTTAAACCCTAAACCCTAAACCCTAAACCCTAAACCCTAAACCCTAAACCCTAAACCCTAAACCTACTTCGGCTTGGCAGGATCGCTGAAACCCGCACCCTAAAAACCTGTATAAAGCTTTTTGAAGCCCACCCAGGGTTTCGGGTTTAGGGTTTAGGGTTTGGGGTTTAGGGGTAGCCATGAAGCCCCCAAACCCTAAACCCGAAACCCGAAACCCTAAACCCTAAACCCTACACCCTAAACCCTAAACCCTAAATCCGAAACGAGAGGACAGCATCCGGCTGTTCCATGAGAGCTCCTGGCATCACGGCCCCCTGGCTCCCTCCGGGCAGTTTAGGGTTTAGGGTTTAGGGCTAGGGTTCAGGGTTTGGGGTTGGGGCTTTGGGGTTTGGGGTTTTGGGGTTTTGGGGTTTTGGGGTTTTGGGGTTTTGGGGTTTTGGGGTTTTCGGGTTTTCGGGTTTTCGGGTTTTCGGGGTTTTGGGGTTTTGGGGTTTTGGGGTTTCGGGGTTTTGGGGTTTTGGGGTTGCGGGGTTTCGGGGTTTCGGGGTTTCGGGATTTAGGGGTTTAGAGTTTAGGGTTTAGGGTTTCAGCTTAAATCTAACCCTGCAACCCTGCCAAGAAGAAAGAAGAAAACCCGCGATAACTCCACATACTCTCGCTAAATCTAACTAGCTATCTATCTAGCCATCTATCTAACGAAATAAATTCATGAGTACGTATTGCAGCTTCATGTGTACCCAAAGGCTCCTATGTAGTACCTTTTTGGGGAAGTATACTAGAATCCCCTATAGCTAACCCAAAAAGGTACTACATTGGAGCCTCTGGGTAGGTAACAAGTCACAGTCGCGCAGCGCCCTCTCCTCTCACCGAGGCATTGCGAGGGTCTGAGGGCCGTGGCTGGGAGAAGGGCCTCGAAGTAGGGCCCCTAGGGTTTAGGGTTTAGGGTTTAGGGTCTAGGGTTTAGGGTTTAGGGTTTAGGGTTTAGGGTTAAGCTTTAATAACCCTAAATCCTAAAAACCTAAAGCCTATCTGCAACCCCCAAAAAGGGGGCCATAGGGCAAAAGGGTGTAGGGATTGGGGTTCTCTAAGGGTTGTTCTATGGTCCCTTAATATGGTCCCACATATATGTCTTTAAAGGGTTCTGAAGTATGGGCCCTTGGGTTTTTGGGGTTTTACAGGGTCTATAAGTGGGTATATAAGGGGTCCCCTTTTAAGGGCCCATGGTAAGAGACCCCTAAGAAGATCTAAGAAGCTTGACCCATATGGGTTTGGGGCTTACAGGGGTTTGGCTCAGGATCATGCGCTACCAACTGGGCCCCTAAACTCGAAACCCGAAGCCTTAAACCCTAATATAACCCTAGACAGGGGTAGGCTTCCACTTAGAGTTTTTTCGTTTACTGTATTATTCCCTAGAATGCCCAGTAGTACCCTTATTCCCTTTTTTGGGGGGGTTTAGGTTCCCTTATAAAGCCCTTTAAGCAAAAAAGGGTACCCTGTTTAAGTCTAGGTTACTGGGCAGCCTAGGTCCCCTCCCCTACATCATCCTTATGAAGGCATAAACAACTGATTTTTACAGGGACCCCAAACCTACCCCAGTAGCCTCTAACCCCTAAGGCTCCTTCCTATGTAGTACCTTTTTGGGGTAGTATACTAGAACCCCCTATAACTAACCCAAAAAGGAACTACATTGGAGCCTTTGGGTAACCCCCAAGCATTCAAGTTTGCACTCTTGAGCAACGTTTTTTAAAGGGGGTTCCATGCCTCTTTGAGCCCCCAACCCTAAACCCTAAACCCTAAACCCTAAACCCTAAACTCTAAACCCTAAACCCCAAACCCCAAACCCTAAACCCTAAACCCTAAACCCTAAACTCTAAACCCTAAACCCTAAACCCTAAACCCTAAACCCTAACCCTAAACCCTTATAAAACCATACACCCCTAAAGCAGCCTCCCTCGGCCCCTTAACTTGGATGCCCGCCCATTGTGCGGGGGCGCTCACGCGCAAAGCGCTAGCCCTCCGCAACCTTTTTTCTAGCAGCGACCACAGGGGATGACCCATGCGCAGCCGGTTTTCCGACTCTGGGCATACCTCAAAAGATCCCAAAACCTACTCTGTTCTAATCTCATCCTATAGAGTCCACAGGACTCCAAGGTCACCTACACCCTAAACCCTAAACCCTAAACCCTAAACCCTAAACCCTAAACCCTAAACCCTAAACCTGAACCCTAAACCCCGAAACT